CCCCACCACACACAACACCCAACACACAACACACGTGCATGTCTCCCCCAGCACACAGCACATAACACTGTGCACGCCTCCCCCAGCACACACAACACACAACACACAACACACGTGCATGTCTCCCCCAGCACACAGCACATAACACTGTGCACGCCTCCCCCAGCCCACACAACACACACCCCTAAACCTAACCCTAAACCTAACCCTAACCCTAACCCTCTAACCTTAACCCTAACCCTAACCCTAACCCTAACCCTCACCCCCTAACACTAACACACCCCCCCACCCCCAAACCCACCACCCCCCCTCCCCCCCCCCCCACAACACACAACACACAACACACGTGCATGCCTCCCCCAGCACACAACACACAACACATGTGCATGTCTCCCCCAGTTCACACAACACACAACACACAATACACCTCTACACGTGCATGCCTCCCCCAACACACACAACACATCTCCACATGTGCACATCCCCCCAACACACAATGCACACCTGTAATAAAAGTAATAAAAGAATAATCAAATTTAATTTGAAGATGTTTTTGAAGTCATGCACTATATTTTCTTTTTTTATAGTTAATTTTTTTCCATTCTTAATTTTTTTTATTTTATTTTACATTCCAACCACAGTTTTCCTTCCCACCCCCACGATAGTTGGGGTATTCATCAATCTGATTACAGGGGTAGGCCAGTTCAGACATCCTCTACTATTGACAGGAGTCTTAGCTGGGGTCCTCCTTGCATGCACTGTTTTCACATAGGCCGCAGGTTTGCAGTGTGGCATGGAAGAGTTCTACCCGGCGATTCCACATTGCCGTTTGCATAATATTCCGAGGGAAGACTCCACAAACGATGCAGGAAATAGAACGGTGGATGCAATTTGCAGGGCAAGACTTAGGAATGTAATTTACGTCAAAAGGCAAAGTAACTCCAGGTCTTGACAAACTGGAAGCGCTGGCTACTGGCTAGGAAGGACGGGGAAGCAGTCGCCTCTTCAGGCCGGATACGAAGTGTGAAGCTGTGGGTCCCGGGAAGCATGTCACTAAGCTGTTTCCTGAGGTGGTACCATCAGAGTCACCCCTGGACAAATGATCAGGTGACCACAGCAACGCTCAGTACCACCCACTTAAAGCGTCCACGGCTGGGGACAGCATTGGCTGCACAGCCTGTCTCTGTCTTCTTGATTTGCCCTCTGCCTGGGCAGGGCTGAGAAGTCTTTGGATCCACCCTGTTTCTTGCCGACCGTGGGCACTTTCTGGTGGGCTTTGGGTTTCTCCCTGCACTGGCTGGGCTTTGAAGTCCACTGGCTCTCTTGGAATTCATCCCACCCTGAGCAACACTGGTTATGATGACTCAATGTGCATGTTGGGCCTCTCACCCTTTTGATTGTAGTTCTAAATATAAGATCCATTATCACCGCACAGAAGGACTAAACAGAAGGCCGCTCACAGCCCTCTTCCTAGAGGCCTGCTGTGGGAGTTCCCTGCTGGGGGTGTGTCCAGGAGTTGGTGATGTCCAAATGTTGAGATAGCAACCTCAGGAAGCAACTGCTGTTTCTTGTTGTGTAATCCCCACCCCCTCAGGTCACAGGTCATGCAGAGGGACACAGCCACACCCTTTGCAGAGTTATGGAATAAACAGTCCGCTCAGACCAGGAGGGTCAGAGACACACCTTAGCAACACCAGGGAGCTCTGGCAGTGCCCGCGGCCATGGTTCAGTGCTGACACAGAAGAGGCCTTTGTCTGAGTGGCATGGCAGTCCTCCTCCATGTTCCCAGCTGGTCAGCCTCTGAGGGGATGTGGCTCTCCAGGGTGTGCAGAGGGCTCAAGGCAGCTGGTCTCCAGCTGGCCATTCCCCTCACACAGCAGGAAAGTGAGGGAGGACGGAGCCCCAGCTCGTGAGTCTGTTTTGAGACGTTCTCTGTCTGAAGGACGCTGCCCAGGCTTCTCTCTATGGGTGCCACCTCCTTGTGCCTCTTCTGCTTAGGACTCAGGAAGCTCAAGCCTGTGCTCTTGGCCTTTTCCGGGTCAGGGTGGAGGCACCGTTCAGAGCTCAGCATGTTTCTACCTCTGCATGTGGCCAAGGTGTGAGCCACAAGTCCTGTCCCTGGCAGGATGTGAAGCCGCTGGCACACCAGGTCTGTGCTCTTGCCCCTTGCACCCACCCTGGAGAGACCTGTGATGTGTCCACCTTCCCTCCCTCTGCAGGTGGAGCTCACGGGCAACAGTATTTATGAGTACATCCACCCTTCCGACCACGACGAGATGACGGCCGTGCTTACAGCACACCCGCCGCTCCACCATCACCTGCTCCAAGGTTCGTCCTCCACACCACAGGAGACCAGAATGAAGCAAGGTCATGCTCTTACTCTAACCATGGGGTTTGCTTCCCAGTGGGCTGGTGTGGGTCAGGCTCATGGCAGCACCCACTCAGTGTGTAGAGCTACACCTATGCTCTGTGCGGCTTGCTTGCAGTGAGTCAAGCCCACGGCTTTGTGCGTGCTGGTTGAGCACTCTGCCACTTTGTCCCCAGCTTGCCTCTGTGTTTTCACTGACAGTTATGAAGTCCCTACTACGTGCCGTGAGCTGTTCCCCTCACATGCTCCTGGTTTAAAATTCCAGTGCTGCCTGTCATGAGTCTAGATCCAGCCTGGTGATTCTGAGGACAGGATCGGGGATTGGAGAATGTGAGATAAAGGGGAAAACGCATCTGTGTAATTTAGGTGCAACTCAGCATTTAATTTGGACGTGATCGGAGGCTTCCAACCACACTGGGGTCATCAGAACCCCGGCTTTGTTACCACAGACACTGCGGATATGTCAAAACATTTATGCGGTGGATACTTGGAAACTTACCGAGTGATGAGGCCCGTGACTGAATCTTAATTTAACACACTAGATAGGCAGATAGTTATATTCATATTGCCATGTTTAAATTGTTTTTTGGTAATTTTTTTCCCCACAAAGCTGGTTTCTTTTGTAATCTATTTTATGTGTTTGGAAGCATTCTGAGCAGGGATTTCAAATTGTGTGCCATGGCACAGACCGGCTCAGAAGCCCTGGGCATCACACACATGTGCACACACACACACACACACACACACACACACACACACACACACACGCACGCACGCACGCACGCACGCACGCACGCACACACGCACGCACGCACCTCCTTAAATTACAGCCATGATGAGTGCTAGAAAGATACACATCTTATCCCAGAGGCCCTGGCCTTGCAACTCTCCCGGCAGGCAGCCCCGTGAGGCTGACTAGATCTCTTGTGTACCTGGGGCTATAGTTCCAGGTATCAAAATTCTCCTGTGTGCGGACGAGCTTGTCTCAAGAAAAAAAAAGAAGGAAGGAAGGAAGGAAGGAAGGAAGGAAGGAAGGAAGGAAGGAGAGGCCCGTAGATGGCTTAGCAGCTAATGGCTGAGCCATGATGGGAGAAGCCCTAGTGAGGAAAGGAAGGATGTTCCAAAGTGACAGCCATGTCACCCGGCTATAGTGTTTCAGAGCCCACCCTGCAGCTGGCTCCGTCTGCCCGGCACAAGTGCTAAGTGACTGGCATTGGGTACCTGTGCTTTCAAGGGAGTTAGACCCTTGTGGGTCTTTCCAACGACTCAAGCAGTCGGTTCCTCTGTGGCCTGCAAGAGGGAAGATGTCACTGTGTCAGGCATCTTGGAAACCCATCGGTTCCCAAAGTTCTGGCTATACTCGTGGTTCAGGCTGCATTTCTTCAAACTTTTGGCAACCACGTTGGGATGGGCAAGCTCTCTTTCCCTCCCCACTCAGACTCTGGTTGTTGGCAGAGCTTTCTGGTTCAGGGCCTGTCCATGGACAAGGAAGTCCCTGGCTGCCAGGCCTGGGGATTGGTTGCTGGGGAGCGGGCAGGATGACAGCCTGTCTAACTGTACCTCCGTTTTCAGAGTATGAGATCGAGCGGTCTTTCTTTCTTCGAATGAAATGCGTCTTGGCAAAAAGGAACGCAGGTCTGACATGCAGTGGATACAAGGTACACTGGGCTCCTGGCGGGGTGGGAATGGCGGGCCCGGTACTCACTCTGCATCTTACATTCATTCTGCTTCACACTTGAGGCTGGAGACAGGATGGGGGATCACCTCTGTCAGGACAGAGTATTGAGCAAGGCTCAGGGTGGATTATGAGCCCAAAGACCTGGCACTTTACTCGGATGCTCCAGGCTGCTTGGATTTCATCCTATAAGACCAGGATTGCAGTGGCTTAGCAGAGACATTTGTCCCTGCATCTATGAGTTCCACTTTGCCTACCACGGATCAGCTGCCCCTTGTGCTTGTGGAGCATCCGTCCACATTCCGGGACAGGATCCCAGAGCTGCAGTGAGCAGTTGCTTTACAGAGATGTTGCTCTTACTACTGGAATGCTCAACTAAATCCGGTACCCGAGACCACGTTTCACAATAACCACCCAGGCCTTCCTCCCTACGAGCCAGGCAGTGCCGTCTCTGCAGCTCCACATCCAATTGGCCATCTTGATCTTCTGGAGGGAGTGGCACTGGTCTTGTTATCCTCAAGAATGGGAGGTACATGGAGAAGGGACAGGGTGCCCAGCTCAGTGGCACAGCCGAGACTTCCTAGCGAAGCCCATGGTTCTCCCTGGTTGAACTTCTCCACCAGATAATGCTACTTGCTGAGGTTTGTTCTGGAATCTAGGACCAGACAGACGACATGGCTAGTTGGCAGTCCCTCAGTGTTAAGAGACAGCAATTTCCAGGTAGGAGGATGGGTTCCAGACAATCTGCCAGGGATCCCGGCAGACACCCTCGGAGGAGTCTCCTGTGCTGTTTTTCCCTACAGGGGGGTTGGGCGCTGTGTACCATTGCCATTCTGGAGATGGAGGCATTGGAGCAGGTACCCCCTTCTCACTTGCCCCTTAGAAAAGGAGGAAGGTGGACTTGGGTGCTGTGAGGCTTTTTTCGGGTCTCTTTTTGGAACACCGCCTCTCAGCCTGGCATTTTCCCGCCAGTGAACTTTTCCTTTGACCCTGATCTTAACCCCACTTTTCACTTTTATTTTACGTAGTTACTTTTGGCACGGCTGGAATTAAACCTAGGGTCTCACACAGACCAGCAAACACCAACACCCAGCACTCCTACATATCATGCTTTTACGGCTTGAGGGATAGACTTCTCATTTTTCCCAGTCACAAAGCCTCCTTGAGCCAGGGCATGACACACTTAGCTCTACCTGACCCCAACAACATATTCCTCGGGAGGCCCTGAAATTTACCATTTTCTGCCACTTGTCAGCTGTCCAACTGTACATCCACACGTCACCTGTCTGTCTTGTCCTTGGTTGCCTCATCAGTAAAGTGGGAGAATAGGCTAGAATGGGGAGATTTTAAGATTTCTTCCAGCTCTGTAAATTTGTGAGCCCTGTGAAAAGAATTTTTGAAAAGAGAATTTGTGTGAGCTGTAGATGCAGCCCAGTTGGCAGACTGCTTGCCTAGCACACAGGAAACCCTGGGTTCGATCCTCAGGGTTTCGATCACTGCATCAATTGGGTGTGGTAGTGAATGCCTGTAACCCCAGCACTTGGGAGGCAGAGGCAGAAGGACAAGTTTAAGGCCATCCTCCATTATGTGGTGAGTTTGAGGTAGCTTAGGCTACATGAGACCCAGGACCGGGTGGGGCATGGGGGATAGACATAGAGACCACAGAAACAGAGAGCTAAGGGCTCAGATGATCACTGTTTTAGCAGTCATGGTCCTGGTAGGGTTTCATGTGTTTACAGGGCAAACACGCTTAATCGTGAGTGTAAGGTGGTTCAGGTGCCTTTGGGTGCCTCATTTGCCCTGGACACTGTATGGCTTCTCCAGTATGGTCTTTGGCTCTCTAGCTATTACAGAGGGCTTCTCTTCAAGAACAGAACAGATACTCTGGATTATTATTTATATTTATTTATTTATATAGTCTTGTTTTTTGAGACAGGGTTTCTCTGTGCAGCCTTAACTATTCTGGAACTCACTCTGTAGACCAGGCTGGCCTCAAACTCACAGAGATCTACCTGCCTCTGTCTTCTGAGTGCTGGGATTAAGGTGTGCACCACCACTGCCTGGTAGCTTTTTGTTTATTAAAATTAGAATTATAAGCAAATTAAAAGTCCCATACATTGGCCTAGAAAGATGGCTCAGTTGGTAAAATCCTTTCCATGCTGACATGAGGACCTGAGTTTGAATCCCTAGCACGGGCCAAAAGAATTTAAATAAATACAAATTATACTGAGATAATTTTTAATTTTCTGAAGTGATAAGAACACACTGGCTGACAGAAATGTCAGTTTTAATCCCAGTGGGAGCTGGAAAACATTTTAATTACTGTCAAGCATTCATAGAGGGGCAACTAGTTCCCTAGCATGTCTTTGCCGTGTTCTTGAGTCAAACTTGGCCATGCGTTTACACGCAAATCCATCATGTGTTAGTAAGTGTTCCTCCTGTAGCACAAATAATAAAAACCCAGAGACAGATATTGGGGTTAAAGCTGAAGATCAGAGAAGCAAAGGTGCCAGCCGCTAGAGAGTTCTCACCTCCACCAATGCTCAGACTGAAGGGGCGATCCTGTCCCCACAAATCCCAAGACTGAATCCAGCTGCGTCTGTCTCCTTGGAGTCCTTCTGCCTAGACTGGGATGCACCCCGTCTCCTGCTTCATAGTCTTCTCTCTGCCATATCACTCCCGTCCCCCTCCCTAGGGATTGAAGGTGTGAGCTCTGTCTCTCTTTTAGACCGACTTGATCTCCTGTAGCCCAGGGTGGCCTTGACCTCACAGAGATCCACCTGCCTCTGTCTCCTGAGTGCTGGGATTAAAGGTGTGTGCCACCACTGCCTGGCCTCTTGGTGCTAACTCCGCACTCTGATCTTCAGGAAAGCTTTATTTTTTAGATCATAAACAAAACATCAACACATCCTCCTGCACACCCGACTGGATAGGAAATGCTTGTTTCTTAAGGCAGAGGAGAGATGTTAGATCCTTTCTCCTGATCAGCGAATCAGGCTTCTGTCAGCATGCTGACAATTACAGCTCTGCAGAAAATGGGCTGATGCATATTCTAGCATTTAGAAAAAAAAAAAAAAACAAAAACACAAAACCTGAGCCAAGGGCAGTGGCGCCCACTGAGCCTGTGCCCTCCTTCCCAGGTCATCTCCTGCAGTGGTGCCCACTGAGCCTGTGCCCTCCTTCCTTCCCAGGTCATCCACTGCAGTGGCTACTTGAAGATCAGGCAGTATATGCTGGACGTGTCCCTCTATGACTCCTGCTTCCAGATCGTGGGGCTGGTGGCCGTGGGCCAGTCCCTGCCACCCAGTGCCATCACGGAGATCAAGCTGCACAGCAACATGTTCATGTTTAGGGCCAGCCTCGACCTGAAGCTCATATTCCTGGATTCCAGGTGAGTCTGGCACTTGTTGTGACATCCCGGAAGGTCCCAGTGGTGAGAACTAGTCCTTGAGATCACATGTTATTGAGGCAAACTATAACAAGAAGTAAGAACTACTAAGAGTGCAGATTAGCCAGGGGTTAGTCATGAAGGGAACGAATTCATGATGGGCAGGATGCAGGGACTTGTTTTAATTAACCACCTACCTAACACATGCTGTGATGTAAGAGAACCCTTCCTTTCTTCCTCCTTTCCTCCTTCCTTCCTCCCCCAGCCGCTCGCTCGCTTTTGAGATAGGGTCTCGAGTAGCCCAGGCTGGCCTCAAATTCTCTGTGTGTCTAAGGATGACCTTGAGACTACTCAGTCCTCCTGCCTCCTCCTCTGGAGTGTGAGGATGACAGACAGACACCATCACATATTGTTTTCCTTTTCCCTTCCTGGAAGCTTTAAGCCCTCCCTCATCTCTCCATCACACTGGTAGGACTTTGGATTTTCCCTTCTGAGCTGTGTGTGAAGTTCCTACCTCTGTGACAGCCCACCTTAAGTCAGTGGGCGGAGGGGGCAGACAGCCCACCTTCCCTAGAGAGAGGCCTGACTGCAGCTTGTGGGCACTGTGTCACTGTTTGGCTGGGGAAGGGAGGCAGAAGCCTGGCTTTTGTTTCAGGAGGTCTTGCTGGAGCTGCCTCTGACCTTACCTGGAGTGGGCTTCCAGGCTCCAGAGTTATATGGTTTGTGTTTGTTTGTTTTGAGACTGGGTCTCAAACAGGACAACCCTGGCTATCCTGGAACTCATTCTGTAGACCAGGCTGGCCTTGAACTCACAGATTTTCAACTGCTTCTGCCTCCCCAGTGCTGGTTTTAAAGGCCATCACACCTGTCCTTTGAAATTTTACTGTTTAATTCATAGCTGGTAGCTATATTTTATGAGACATCTTCAGTGTTTTGATACTGGTGTCCCACATGCTTTGGAATGTCCCCAGTCTCCACAGATATTAGCTGGTAGGGCTCTTCTGCTGTGGCTCAGTAAAATGTCTCAGTCAGCCATGCTTCAGAAAGGTGAAAGTAGACAGCAGACATGGAGCAGTTGAAAACTCAAAGCCTCCGATACCTGCAAGGCTGTGTTGCCACTTGGCTTGTGGGTTCCTTGGCTGCACAGGCCAAGGTCCTTCCAAGAACTCCAAGAGCCCTGCTTCAGCCTTGTGAGAAGCTGAGGCTATGGGCACACATTACTGCACTGGCTACTGATTTTCTCCTGTTCTATTTTTTCAAGTTAATGAAAAGTAGTGTAAAGACTCACATCTGTAATTCTATTGCCAGTGAGCCTGAGGCAGGAGGATTATTATGAGTTCCAGGCTAACCTAAGGCAGATTCAAAGCCAGCTTGGCTACAGAGCAAAACTGCCTCAAATAAACCAAGCCAAAAACAAAACAAAACAATAACAACAAAACCCCCACAACTTACAAAGCAAGGAAGAATGTGGCATTAAAATATCCCATGAAAGCCGGGTGTTGGTGGTGCATGCCTTTAATCCCAGCACTCAGGAGGCAGAGGCAGGCGGATCTCTGTGAGTTCGAGGCCAGCCTGGTCTCCAGAACGAGTGCCAGGATAGGCTCCAAAGCTACACAGAGAAACCCTGTCTCGAAAAACCAAAAAAAAAAAAAAAAAAAAAAAAAACATGAAAGTGAACATTTTGCCCACTTACTGATTCTTTTTCTGACAAGACATAAATCTATCTGGCCCAGGGTGGGTCAGGAGACATGAAGTTAGTCAGGCTCAATCTTCATGTTCCTCAAAGCCACTCAAAGGGTTGGGAAGTGAGAAAGCTGGGGTGACAGGAGATACAGAGTCACCTTAAAAGTCCACGCAAAGAGTAAGTGGAACGCATTGGCCAGCACCTTCTGGGATGGTTGAATGGGGGCAAATTCTATTTTGTGTCCTGCAGGAGCAGGGTCAGCAGGCTGGGGACCGTGTGAGCTTCCTCAGAGACTGGTGGGTACAACAGGGCTCTTCTGAAAGTGGGCTGGACATGGGTCTTTCAAGGTCACGACTGAAGAGGAAACAACTGGTTTTGTCCTCTCTTTGCCTCTGTCCTACTACTCAGAGTTTCAAAGTGGGATGTCCTCTGTATGCCGAGAATATGTGTTGCTTTTATTGGTTGACAAATAAAGCTGATTTGGCCGATGGCCATGAAGAATAGAGCCGGGTGGGAAATCCAGAGTTACAGAGAGAAAGAAGGCAGAGTCAGAGAGATGCCATGTAGCTGCAGAAGGAGTGAGATATCAGAACATTACTGGTAAGCCATGGCTATGTGCTGATACACAGATTAGTAAAAATGGGTTAATTCAATTGTGAGAGCTAGTCAATAATATGCCTGAGCCATTGGTCAATTGTAATCAATGTTAAGCCTTGGAGTGGTTATTTGGGAACTTGTGGAACTACAGTTACTATCGCTATGACAATCACCATGACCAAAAAGCAAGTTGAAGAGGAAAGGGTTTACACTTCATCACTGAAGGCAGTCAGGACAGGAACTCAAACAGGGCACAGACCTGGAGGCAGGAGCTGATGCAGAGGCCACGGAGAAGTGCTGTTTACTGACTTGCTCCCCATGGCTTGCTCAGCCCACCTTCTTATAGAACCCAGAACCTCCAGGGCTCAGGGATGGCCCCACCCACAATGGGCTGGGCCCTCCCCCAACAACCACCAATTAAGAAAATGTCCCACAGCTGGATCTTATGGAGGCATTTTTCTCAACTGAGGTTCCCTCCTCTCAGATGGTTCTAGTTTGTGTCAAGTTGACATAAAACTCGCCAACACAGCCTCCTTGTATTTCTCAGACAATTCAAGAAACCCCTGAGAGACCTGTTGAATTCTCTCAAAGGGAGAAGGAGAGATTGTATCCCCAGAGGAGTGACCCGAAGTGTTTTCTGGTTGGCTGTTCAGCCCACGGCACTTTGAAAATGTGGAGAGTCTTGTCAGTGAAGGGTGGAGACTAGCTCAGAAGCCAGACTACTGTCATGTAGGAAACACTTAAGGAAGGGAGTTGGGACCCTTCACAGTCGCTGGCATTTCTGTCTTGTTACAGCAACCTGATCTTGAAAGGCCTCTCCGCTAGCACCAGCTCCGGGAGGAAAGCAGTAGTCAGGCTGGTGGTTACTTCAGCATCCAAGCCCCGGGAGCTACAGCAGGGAGGGAGTCGGCCTGAGTTCTCCCAAGTCACAGCAGCGAGGGTGGTGGTCCTCAGGGAGCAGCTGCTGGCCGCCCAATCCCAGACACAACAGAACTCGGCTTAACCTGATGTTCGAATCCTCCGGGTTTTGTGGTTTCACTTTGAAACTGTAGCTGGTGCTTTAGTTAAGGCCGGGTGAAGCCAGAGATGTTTGGAGTGTGGGACATCTCTCTGACAGGTCTACAAACACTGGAGATTTGACCAACCCAGCAAGGTATCCTGTCAAGCCCCTTCCCTGCCCTTTAATTTTTAGAGATGGTGAATAGTTTGATGAGAACGTGGTGCCTGTGTTTCTGATAATTGAGCATGTTCAGGTCTTTGCTGTATTAGCTCAATGGTCCACACCACAGAGACATTTGGGTTTCTTTTGGGGCCAGCCAGCTGTCTTCACCTTCCTCCCACCCAGTCAGACCACACCGGGCCCTTGGACCAACAGCAAGAGCCAGTGACATTCCCCATGTACTCACCTGGAGCCCCGTTTCCTCCCCATCTTAAAGGGACACCATGGGAATATATGTGCCAGACAGAGAGCCGTTCCAAGGAAATCTGAGGCTACAAGAGACTCGTGATCCAGGGTCCACGCAGATTAAAGAAGGAAAGTGGGGTCACGTTCCCTGGTTCTGTCTGTGAAGGACTAGTGTTTCACAGCTGGCGAGCGGTGCCCTCAAAGCCAGGCTTCTTCAGTAGCCCCCTCCTCCTCCTCCTCCTCCAGAAGTGACTTCCTGCAGCCACGCTGCTGCTTTTGGAATCCTCTAATCTGCCCTTTCATCTGCCCTCAAATATCTGTCACCAACATGATTAGGGCCACCTACCTCTTCTAAGGGCCCAGTTCCCAGCTCGGTTAGGCCAAGTGTGTGAAGCCACACACAGTGTCACCCACAGAAAGGGCAGCCCGACGCGGCACTGGTGAGGGCTTAGTGGCTGACAGTCATTTCTGTTCAAAGTGTGGGAGATGAATACGTCTGGGACTTGGTGAGAGTTGAGGGACCATATCACAGACAAACTGGTCCACTGCTGAGGAGAGTGGGCACCTCACCTTCTTGCTGGAATATTTTCAGTCATGCACCGTTTTCAGGGTGGGGGGGCATGGCGTGGCTGTGGAGAATCCCTCATGGACACCAGGTTTAAACAGTTATTCTGTCATCCCCAGAAGTAGGAATCACCCAGCTATAAGTTCTGGAGACCTGGTTAACAATGCAGAACAGGGATTTAAACAGCCAACGCAGAGCCAAGAAGTGGGAACCCCCTCAGCACCCATCAACAGACAAGGGGAATAAACAAAAGTAAAGCGTGGTGTCTACAGGAAGCTGAGTAGTATTCAGTCATAGAAAGGCGTGTTCTGAACACACACTACAAATGACAGTGGACCTTAAACACATCATCCCATACGAAGGAGAAGGCAGAAGCCAGAGGGTCACACAGGGCATCATTCCAATTTGGGACACACAAGTTCAGGGAGACAGGAAGTTAAACGGAGGACAAGGGCTGGACAAATGGACTGGTGGTGTTTAGGGGAAGGAACAATGAAAGGCATAATTTGGTTTTGGGGTTTTTTTCTTTCTTTTCCTTTTCTTCCTTTTATTTTATTTTATTTGAGACAGGGTTTCTCTGTGTAGCCCTAGCTGTCCTGGCATTCGCTCTGTAGACCAGGCTGGCCTCGGACTCACAGAGATCCGCCTGCCTCTGCCTCCCGAGTGCTGGGATTAAAGACGTGTGCCACCACCGCCCAGCAAAAGGCATTGTTCTGAAGGTGAGGAATTTCTTCTGTTTGGGGTGATGAGCGAGTGTGGGAAGACAATCACGGTACAGTGTGAATGTCACAGTTAATGCCACTGAATCATCCACATGAGACGGTTAAGACAATAAATATTATGGCATGTGTATTTTATTAGAATTAAACAAATGAAGGAGCCAGGAAGTTGGTTCAGTGGACAAAGGGTCTGCTGTGTAAGCATGATGGCAGCTCAGCCTATAATCCCGTCCTGGAAGACAGAGACAGGGTGAGGGGAGTGTGCTGGGCTTTCCTGCCTTCAGCCACACATAGAACAAAACAGGTTCACGAAGGACTGGCCCAACGGGACCCCAGAGAGGTTCTGCCCCATCACACAGGCTTGTCCCAATGTTTGTATCAAAGCATCTCCCTGGATGCCCACAGACAGCCAGGGTTCAAGAAAGGTCTAGTTGCTAAGTCGTCCCAAACATGCTGGTAGCCCATGTTTCCAGAAAGTTCTTGCTCACAGTTCTACAACCTACCCTGAGGTAGAGTTCAAAGACTTCCTTCCTGTAAGAAAACATCATTCCAAAATCAACATCCCCACCTCTGGGCCTCTTCACACTTGATTAGTTGGCAAAGCAAACACTGGTTTAAAGGAAGGGGCCTAAGAGCAGCTTGACTCACGAACCAGCTGTCCTTCCACAGGGTGACAGAGCTTACAGGCTATGAGCCACAAGACCTGATAGAAAAGACGCTGTACCATCACGTTCACGGCTGTGACACCTTCCACCTCCGCTATGCACACCACCTCCGTGAGTATCGAGCCACAGGGCCGGGGCAGCTGGCCAGGGAAGGGACAAGCCTACTGCTTGTTGCAGGTGTGTGTGTGAATCACAAAGCATAGTGTGACTTCGTTTGCCCCTTGCTAACGATGGCCCCTGCTGCCAGTACCTGCCACACGCAAGCATGATCTCAGTGACAATGCCAGACCCCAGTGGTCTGGGTTCTAGTTTGTGGGCTTGGCGGCCCAGCTATTCTATGGGATCTGGACCCCAGTTATGAATACCAGCAGCATTAGTACAAGAACAGCGAGGAGACCTTACTGTGTGTGTGGCCTGGCACTGGATTAAGAAATTAAACAAGACTAGCAGCCTGGGAGAGAGATCCTGCGTTCACAATGTTCATTTCACTTCTGAGGAGGATGAAGTTCAGAGAGGGTGATCCACTGGCCTGAGGTCACATAGGCAGACCTGAGAACCAAACCTCAGCAGAGTTCCGCTGCTCTGGGATGGAGTCTCACCCCTCTGGGATGCCAGAGAGACCTTATGTTCTACCCTGAGGGGGATTGGCTTCTCAAGTGAGCCAGCAGGGTTTGATTTGCCCACGGAGGCAGTTTGTGGACCTCAGGGTTTGGAGCAGGTGTGTTTAAAGAAATGGCACATTTCTTCAAGAATCCAGAGAATAATTTGGCTGGAATAAAACATTTTGTTTGCCTGTAGTGTATCCCCAATAGGCCTGTAGCAAGTCCTGAGATATTTAGTGGGATGCAGGTGATTGCGCAAGCTGGGGGCTTCTGTGTGTGGCCTTGGTTTATGTCCAAGTGTTTGTTTCATTCTGGATCAGCTAAGAGATGTTAGAGGACATTTTCTGGCAACCTTGGAGGTAGCTGGCAGGTCCAGCGGCTGCACTGTCCTCTTGGCTATGCAGTGTGAGCAGGGGTTGGTGAGCAGAACATCGTTTGGGCTGTTTTCCTCTCTCCAACTCCATAGGGAGAGCTGACATGACCAGATTCCTTACACCTTGGCACACAGAGATGAAGGCTAGGGACAGCATGTGCATGAGTGTTTGCGTGCATGCGTGCACACGTGCGCGCTCGCGTGTGTGTGTGTGTGTGTGTGTGTGTGTGTGTGTGTGTGTGTGGTGTTCTGTGTATGTTGTATGTACATATTTATGTATATGTGTAAAGGTATATAGGCATGTATGTGTGAGTGTGTGAGCATGTGTGTGTGTGTGGTCGCCTGCCTATGTTGTATGTACATATTTATGTATATGTGTAAAGGTATATAGGCATGTATGTGTGAGTGTGTGAGCATGTGTGTGTGTGTGGTGTTCTGTGTATGTTGTATGTACATATTTATGTATATATGTAAAGGTATATAGGCATGTATGTGTGTGTGTGTAAGCGTGTATGTGTGTGTGTGTATGTTGTGTGTGAGCGTGTGTGTGTGTGTGTTGTTCTGTGTATGTTGTATGTACATATTTATGTATATGTGTAAAGGTATATAGGCATGTATGTGTGTGTGTGTGTGTGTGGTGTTCTGTGTATGTTGTAAGTACATATTTATGTATATATGTAAAGGTATATAGGCATGTATGTGTGTGAGTGTGAAAGCCAGAGTTCTCATGGGAAAATTCCTATCTCAAGATATTGCCAGGACCTCAGGGAACTCTGACAAGGGGTTGTTTGCAGGCAACCCAGACTCACAGGTCCTGGGTTCCATCCCAGTAGGATCAGAAGTTCAAGGCATCCTCATCTATCTGTCTGTCTGTCTATCTATCTATCTATTTATCTATGTAGTGATTTTGAGACAGGGTTTTACTGTGTAGTTCTAGATGTCCTGGAACACACTCTGTAGACCAGGCTAGCCTCCAACCCACAGATATCCACTGCCTCTGTCTCCTGAATGCTAGGATTAAAAGCATGCACCACCACGCCTGGCAGGGAGGCATCCTTATCTATACAGAGAGTTTGATACCAGCTTGGGATACATGAGACTTTGTCTCAAAAAGAAAGGCATAGGGACCCCCACTTGCTGCTGCTATCATGGTTCTCAGTCCTGGGATCTCTGGGAGCCCGTGGGAGGCGCCCACTTGAGTTACTGGGGTAAAAGAGGAAAGAGTGACCAACATTTCTACATGGCAGTTCCTGTCGTTCTTGGCTGAGAACTGCTTGTGAGTGACATTAATCCCCTGACTCATTCCCCGTCTGGTCAGAGGGGGCTTTGCCTAAGCAAGGTCTCCAGCAGGAGAGCAGGTGTCCACAGCTGGAAGCGGCCATCAGCCAGCACCAAAGCCAACTTCTCAGTCCCTCTTCAGGCTCCTCTTCTTGTCAGCCAGGTTCCAATAACCTCCTGGTCTCTTGTATACAGAGATGACACCTCTCCCTGGGGCCCTGTCAGCTCCCCAGTCTGAGGTCCCGGCTGACTAACCTGAGCATCCCCACAGCCATGCTCCTTCTCCATGAAGAGTGAAGGGTGCTGGGTCCCCCACCCCCACCCCAGCCTGATACCCAAGCTGCCCTCTCTCCTCTCATACAAGTGTCTAGCTGCTGCTTGGCTCCTGGCTTCTTGTTTCTTGAGGACCCTTGTGTTTCATGATCCTCGTGGGGACTAGATGAGTTTCCTAGGGCTGCCACAATAAATTACCACAGCCCAGGTAGCTGTAACCAGAGGCATTCATTTCTCTATAAAGTGAGGCTGGAGGTCCAAGCTCGGGGTGTCAGCGCTGGCTCCTCCTGAGGCCTCTACCCCTGGCACAGATGGCATCTATCCTGTGTTACCATGTGGCCAGCCCTCTGTGTGTGGGTTCTCATGGCCCCATCATTTTATAAACATACTGGGCAAAATGGGGCAGGGCCCCATGACCTCCTACCATCATGCTAACCTGTTCTGTGGTGCGAGGGGTGAGAGTTTCAGCTCACAGTTTGGATGACACAATTCAGCCTGTAGCGGAGACAATCTTTGTGATGGTACTTCAACTGTATGTGCAGGCCCTTCACTGCAACTTGGTAGGAAAGCCCATTTTATAAGTAGGTCACTCCCATGGTGTCATGGAGATGGGAAAAGGATGAGGCGATTGAAGTCCATAAATGCAGCTGCTCTACTGCCCTGTCCACCTCAGCAGTGTGGGTCCCACCCTGGCCAAGCAAGTCTGCCGAGAAGCTACCATTAATCCTGGGCACAAACGAGTAGGTGAAATACCTGTCATGCGACTGGGCTTGTCGAAGCTATGGGTGTTACACACAGGGTGAGAGTGAGGGCTGTCACACAGGGTCAGAGTGAAGGCTGTCACACAGGGTCAGAGTGAGGGCTGTCACACAGGGTCAGAGTGAGGGCTGTCACACAGTCAGAGTGAGGGCTGTCACACAGGGTGAGAGTGAAGGCTATCACACAGGGTCAGAGTGAAGGCTGTCACACAGGGTCAGAGTGAGGGCTGTCACACAGGGTCAGAGTGAGGGCTGTCACACAGGGTCAGAGTGAGGGCTGTCACACAGGGTCAGAGTGAGGGCTGTCACACAGGGTCAGAGTGAGGGCTGTCACACAGGGTCAGAGTGAGGGCTGTCACACAGGGTCAGAGTGAGGGCTGTCACACAGGGTCAGAGTGAGGGCTGTCACACAGGGTCAGAGTGAGGGCTGTCACACAGGGTCAGAGTGA